GCACCGGATAACCATCTAGCATCTAGGTCGAGCAGCGCTTGGAAGGCGCAGCTGATTATGAAAAAACTGCAAACCAGGGATCGGCAAGTCGCAAATGCTTCAGCGTCTGGACTCTCGCAACTCGGACACTCCAGGCAAAAATCCGTTTGATTTTGTTTGTTGATCACCCCTCTACGACTGCTTACTGACGAAGGGTAGGGTTTAGGGCTCTCGTTCGGGAGCCGATCCCCAGGGAACATGCTGAAATCTATGCACAATGAGGACACCTCCAGGTGTCCTGTATCTAGCCAGCTCCGCAAGCCGACACCAAGACATCCTACAAAGCAAACGAGCGTGCCCCAGCAGATCATGAGGAAGCACGTGCGCCAAGGAAGAGCTCCACTCCTGGGGCAGAAGTAGCAGAACAAGCAGACGTAGAAGCAGACGTAATCGTCACAGTAGTGGTCGATGTCTTGCGAGGAGCGGAGGAGGAGGAGGAGGAAGAGGAGTTGCAGTAGCAGTGGCCGCAGTAAGTCGGCGCAGCAGAAGTGGCAGTAGGAGTAGCCGTAGCCGTGGCAGTAGCGAGGCGAACATAATCAAAGCCAGGCTTCAAGGTATCAAGAAACACTTCTGCGCAAGCCGTCGGGCTGGTGCGCCTACATGTGGGAACGCCAGCGAAGGATAGAGAGGGGCACGCTTGGAGGAACCCAAAAGAAGGAGGCACCCTGAAAAAAAGGACCCTAAGAGGGAGCCTAATTTAGAGAACTACCCATGTGGGAAACAGGATAGATAAGGAAGGGCATGAGGAAGAAACGGGACAGGACTGCTGACCCAAAAAAACATTGCTCAGAGTTTACAGTAGCTGCCATTAAGAAGCGGGAGCACCTTACACCCTTTTCTCGAAACTACTTCTAGACAGGAAGCCCTGCGCATCCCTAAGCCCTAGGCCATCAAGGCATCTTGCCACGAAGGCTCGGGCACCACCGTCCAGAGTGAAGCGAAGCTGCAGGCATTCGACGCCACTTCGCAACTTGGCCGCACCCGAAAGCTGAGCTACTGCAGATTGGGAGTGTTGAGTCTTGAGTTCCGAGGCATACAGACGGGGAACAGCGAGGCAGGAGAGTGAGGGAGAGGGAGGAAGGAGGGAGGGAGGGGGAGGGAGAGGGAGCGGGAGGGAAGGCATGCAGCACTACCCGACGATTGGAAGTTCGGACTTGCTAAAGTGCTAAAGCTTGATTTCGGAAGGAGCTGTGGAGTAGCAATAAGACATCATATCTGTCCACATGGCCCAAACAAAACAATCGCAGTGCAGAGCCATGCGAGTGCTGCAAGGAGCGGCCCCTCTCCCCCTCGGCCTCTCTCCCAAAGGCTCAGGTTCAACCAAAACTCGCTGAGTGCACATCCAAGATTCGTCGAGGGCGCTGAGGGCCTCGCAACTGCTGGAGGTTGCAACATGCCAGGGGTTAAGGATGAGGTACTTCTTCGCAAACCCCATCAGGCCCTGGGAATCAGATTTCCCAAAGCGGCAGAACACCCCAAGTTCTCCAAACGCCATGTGTAGGCCGAGGGACTGTGGAACAAGATGCAAACATCCTCTCAAGGCGTTTTATGGCGATGGCCCTTGTGTGCCTTTTCGGGCTTGGGAAGTCGGCCGGGGAAAGTCATATTCATTCCCCTAACCCAGACCCTATTTACGAGAATGCGACGTCGCTGAGCCCCCTGGCCTGGCTGGGTTCCAGGGGGTGGCCCAGCTCCGAAGCGGAACCGAGCACGGCTCCCTTGCCTCTTAGCTGTCTCTTCTTTTGCGGGTGTTCTTGGGTTAGGGAGAAGAGAAGGCCTCTGTCAGGGCCCTAACACGCGTCCCAGGATGTACGAGAGTGCAAGGACGGATTTGTTTCGGGTTTACTTACGCCTTGGGGGGCCTCAAAGAAGAGCCCACCAAATGAAGGATCAGGGCTGAGGGAAAGCAAGGGTGTTGGGTTTCGGCTTCAGGCTTTGGGCTAGTCGACCTTGCGTCCTCACTTGTGACAGTGGTCGCACGGACAACGCAAGGAGCAAGAGCAACAATGAAAACAGCAACGGCAATAGCATTCCTAGCACGAGCAGAAAGTCTTGAAGGAAAAGCAAAGGCCAAACTAAACCCAGTATGACTATGATAATACTCCAAGCTAACAACGACAATGAGAATCAAATTCAGGAAAGTCCAGCTGCTGCTGCCACACCTCGTCTTCTACGGCGACTACGACTGCGACTAGACTGCGACCGCGACTACCTCAGCTGGGACGAACACTGTTTGCAGATGCAGTGAAAATCTGAGACGACGCCGAGGACGACAGCATGAAACACCAAATAAGCATATGATGTCATACATTGCCGCAAAGTAGGGGCGATATCATTCCCGAAATCAAGCCAGAATTCAAACGCTACCCGATGTGTTGAAGCCTACGAGAAGCCTTCCCCAAACAGTTAACCCTCACGGAAAGCGGCTGCGAGCGGCTGCGTGTTGATCGGGGAACACTCATACTTCTGAAGAATCTGCCAACATCCTAAGAACTAGAGGAGGCCCTGTCAACTCTGTTCACCCGAGGGACGTTCTTCAAAAGCCGAAGCCCTGGACACGGGACGGCCACGGGACACCAAGATCCGATAGCTTCAAGGCCCAAAACCCAAAGCCCCAAGCCAGGCTCAGCTAAGCCACGCTCCGCGCTCCAGGTTGCGATTTTCTTTGTCAGGGAATTCTGCCTCAAGGGAGCAAGGCCTCTTAGCTCCCAGCGAAGAGTGCTGCGGTATCCGTTCCGGCGTGGACTACGTGTACCATGAGACATCATCATGCAAAACGGCATGATGTGGTATTGCATGCAACATAGCATCAACTACCATCGGCATGTGATAACATTGAACAGGATATGATTGATGTGCGATATTTTCATCAAATCGACAAATGCATACCAAAATGCTACCCATGCGTATGTACATAAATACAGTACTGAAACAGAAATCGCCACAGATTTACTACAGTATGATCACACTATAGGACAGCAACAGCAACACTCACATTGGCAGCAATGACTGTTATAGCAGTATTAATGTTTGCAACTATGAATATGTCTGTTATTGTCATTTCTGACTGTGCTGCTGATGCTGATGCTGATGCTGTTGCTGTTGAGATCGCCTGGCTGTCGCTGTCGCAGCCGCTGCCGTTGCTGCTGATGCCGCTGCTGTTGCAGCAACAGCTGTCGCCGTCTATTGTTCTGTGCATTTATCCACTTGTACATACACACACATCACACACTATGTATCTGTACATACAAAGATCCATAGATATATACTTACATAGATACATAGGCACAGACATCCATACATACATACATACATACATACATACATACGCACATGCAACACACATGCATGCATGCATGCATGCATGCAGACAGACAGACAGACAGACACACATACATAAATACATACATAAATACATACATAAATAAATACATACATACACACATACATACATACATACATACATACATACATACATACATACATACATACATGCATTTATATATATATATATTATATAGATATATATAGATATATACATATATATATACACACAGATAGATACATAGATGCGTGCATACATACCTACATACATGTGAAATACATGTGTGAATGTGTGCGTGTGTGCGCGAGCGCGCAAAGACAAACACCTTTATATTAACCCGAATGTGGTTAGACCACACTACAACAAAATACACACTTTGCAGCACCACAACGCTTGGTGCTATTCTGTCCTGCTGTTCTAGCAGGCTCAGTTGCCTGGCTTGTGATGAATTTTCGGTAGTTGCAGCCTCAACTGTGGCTCTGTATTGCCACTACACTTCCACCCTCAACCTTGAAACAGTCAACCCTTTAACCCTGAACCCCGAAACCGCCAGCTCTAGATCCCGAACCAATACATCCTGACCCCAAAGCTCGGAATATTTAAGCCCTAAGCCCAATCTCAGCTCAGCCGAGACTCAGATCCCCGATTCTGTAGTCAATCGGCACGAGGTACTTGTTTGGCCTTAGGAATCAGGTGCTCTCTTTACTAAACAACTTACGCTTTCAGGCTTTGGCGCTTAGGAGCTTCGAGTGTTTCTTGACTTCTTGACCGCAAGTTGAGAGGCGCTTGTGATAAACTGGCGTTTGGGCCTCCAGAACATGACTCGCACCCTGGGCACCCTGGTTCCAACCAAAGCCGCAATTGCCAAGCGCCTTCGTGGCTTGCTGTGCAGTTGGTGACCCGGAAGATGTCAAAACAACATGGATTGTGTCTCGGGGTAGCCATATCTATGTGTACGTGTGTGCCCTCTGTGCTTTGGGGCCTTGCCAATGGAGTCAGAAGCTATGGCCAAGCCCGAATCATCCTGTCTTAAGCCCTGAGAATGGAAACCTCCAAACTTTAAGACACCGGACGGCATTCGCTTCCCTACCTAAACCCAAAACATATGCTTTTTTTGACAAGTGGGCGGCAGTGCACATGCCCTCATGCCCAGCCTGATGTACTACACATCCAAGCCTGAACCCATAAGCTCAAAGCTCGACCTCTTCTTACTGCCATGTTCCTTCTGCTTCGAGCATGACCCCTTTATTGAAACCTTTGAAACGTGAAGGCCTAAGCTATACTGTAACCACCTGATACCCTAGAAACTACATAACCCTTCATGAACCCGGACTCTGATGATCAGCTGGGAAGCAGCATCGCAAAATTTCAAGCAACCCTGCATCAAAGTCATCCCTCTCAGGCCTTCAAAACCTACCGCAGACTCATGACATGATTCATTGAGCATCCAGAACGTGGCAATACACCAGTCTTCCCTACAGATTGACCGAACCCCGACTTGGCTTGACGCAGCCGTCGATACCCCACACTTTCTGCGAAGTCATCCGAACGAAACCCACTCCCTGCATCATACCGTCATCATAAGCAGTCAAAACCCCAAACCCCGGCTTTCAGTCTGCACTGAGACCCCAAACCCTCAATAGATCGTAGAAAACTTGTGGAGTTCAATGCCGCGTCTCTCGGGTTGCGGGGCCAGCGTCGGGTCCAGCGCTGGGAGGATGACGACGGGAATGCCTCGGCGAGTTCCAAATAAACGTATGTGTACGTGTGTGCGCGTGTGTGTGTGTGTGTGTGGGTATGTGCGTATGTAAACATACAAAAAGCAAAGATCCAGATCTGGATACAGAATAGGCATAGACATAGATTTGGGTACCGGTGCGGGTACAGGCAAACACAACGACACACATACAAGCATAGTTATAGGTAAAGATAGACAAGGATATGTGTATGTAGAAGTATGAAACAATACGCAGATAGATACACATATATGGTGCAGCGTCGCCCT